TTTTCTTAATCTAACACAATCTGCTTTACAAATGATGCCAACTTCTCCTAGATTCTGGGATTAGGTTGTCTACCAGTCTTCACTTGTGGTGATGTTGTGAGTTTTGGTCTTTTTCTATGTCTTCATGGGCATTTTAGTGGGCAGTTAGGCAAAGCTGATGCCGTTTGGCCTGGAAATCCAACCCAGGGATTCTTGACCTTCTTCTCTAAGCCATTATCCTGAATTCTGATGCAGCCACACCCACAGCATCACCTGGCTAGATCTGGTCTCTGTTTACAATTTCGTACACTTCCTCCCCAACTAGTGAGCCAGCTTTTTGCGAGCATCATGACCTCAGGTCCCTGGACCTCGACCTGATCTCTTCATCCATCACTCTCCCTGTTACTTTGTTTGGAATAATATAATAGTTCAGTTGTTAAGGAATTTGAATTTTTTTTTTTTTTTGAGATGGAGTCTCGCTCTGTTGCCCAGGCTGGAGTGCAGTGGCTTGATCTTAGCTCACTGCAACCTCCACCTCCCGGGTTCAAGCGATTCTCCTCCCTCAGCCTCCCGAGTGGCTGGGACTACAGGCACATGCCACCGTACCCGGTTAATTTTTTGTATTTTTAGTAGAGACGGGTTTCACAGTGCTAGCCAGGATGGTCTTAATCTCCTGACTTCGTGATCCGCCTGCTTCGGCCTCCCAAAATGCTGGGATTCAAGGCGTGAGCCACCTCGCATGGCCTAGGAATTTGATTTTAACAACAGGCATTTATCAGCTGTGTGACCCTGAGCAAGTTTCTTAGCCTCTCTGGGTTTCAGTTTCCACATAGTAGGATGGGACTTATTGAAGAATTAATGCATTCACAAGTATGAAGGGCCTAGTGTTTCAGTGTTGTGCATTCTAGCAGCCAGGATCCCCTCACATCCTCAAGCTTGCACCAGGCTTGTCATGCCAATCTCAAACCTTGGGTCACCTTTCCCCTCTGTTCCTTACACACTTGTTTTGGAGCTGCCCAGCATTTCTGGGAAAAGTCACGAATGTTGTGATTGCCCCTATGAGCAATTCATGCTCTAGAACGATGATCTCACCACCTCTCAGCAATTCTATTCATTCCTCATTAATATGCAGTAACAGACCCCATACAGTAGCCCCCGATGCTATCCTATACTTTCTCTCTGAATATCAAAAAAAATCACAGACTTTCTGTGAATTCTCCCATTTTTCCTTCCAGTGACCCAGCATACATCCTTCTTGCCATCTGAGGGTTTCTAAACATCTTTAGCCATCCTTTCCTCTTAGTCCGTCCATTTGAATTCTAAGTTCACTGACAAGGTTACTCCTTGTTGTAATCATATACAGGAAGCTCACAGGCAGCTCCATTTGTATGAAGGTCTACTCTGCATCTCCACAGTCCCTCCCCAAGCCAAGCCACATCTGTCTTCCACTTGAACATCTGCCATAGCCTGCTTCCATTCATACCCTTGACAATTCATTCTTCATGTCTTAGGCGGAACGATCTTTTAAAAACATGTCAGGTCCTGTCACTCTCTTGTTTAATGCCTTCTGATAGCTTCCTGTTCTACTATGTGTAGAATAAAATCCCAGTCCCTTCCTTGGCCTCCGGGGGCCTGCATGACGAGGTCCCTGCTGCTTTTCCAGCATGATTTCATTGTTTACTCTGCTCTGTCTTTTGCTCAGCATGTTCCGGCCACGCTTGATTCCCCTCTGTTCTCTGAATACACGGAGCCCCTTCCTGTCACAGGCCTTCACACTTGCTGGAATGTGCTTCCTCCCCACACTTGCCCCCCTCTGTGTGGTTAACTCCTCTTCACCCTTTGGTTCTCAGTTCAGATGTCACCTCCTCAGAGAGACCAGCCTTCCCCAGTGGCCGGCTGGCCATTTCCTTCCTAACACCACAGCCTGTCATGGTCTTGTTCATTTACTGTTTAGTTTTTGACTCTCTTGCTCCGTGAGGTCAAGGGTCTGACAGACTCATCCACTGTTACAGTCCAAGGGCTTAGTGCAGTACCCAGCACAGAGCAGGCCCTCGGTGGATGTTTGCTGAACGAAGGGAACCCTCCTCACCTGTTGGACCAGTTAGGGAGTGCATCTGGCTGCCTGAGCAGAAACCAACTCCAGGAATGGGATTTAGCCCATGGAAGCTCTGCACAGAGGTCTGGAGGTCAGCGGGCACACCCAGTCACAGACATTGTTGAGGAGCTGGGCTCCTTTGGGTTTATTGTTCTGCCATCCTTAGTGTATGGATTTCATCCTCATGGCTTCAAGATGCTGCACCATCTTATTTCAAATGGGAAGAATGAGAAGGGCAGAAAGGGGCATTCTGCCTGATCTGTTCCTTATCTGTAAAATGATAGTTTTCCTAGAATCCAGTAAACTTTGCTTGGGTCTCATTGGTCAGAACTGTATGACGTAGGTGTTCTGGGCTGCACGGCGTCTAGGAACTCAACACTTTTAGTTTTTTACCCTGTATTGACCAGGCATTGGATGTGGGCTTCCCCAGCAAGGGGACGTGATATTGTGTGAGGTCATTTCCTTCTACACAGGGAACTTTCAAGCTACCCTAAAAGTATCAGGGTCCTCTTGGCAAAGGAAAAATGGTAGAACAGATACTGGGCAGGCTGCCAGCAAAGTGGTCACATCTTTTATCCTAAAGCTGTGGTCAGAGAGGAGAGAAGATTTGCAGGAACAAGAGGGAAGGGGAAAAGGAATTAAGTAAGTGAGGAGGGAGAGAAGTTCTGCCAGAAACCAAGGTGACAAGATTGCTAGTATTACAATTTTGCCATAACAACAATAATAATATACTGTTTTTAATAGTTTCATGTTTCAAGTAATTTCATAAGGTAAACATTTTCTGGAAAAACTACATGTGCTAATATTGAAATAATTTTAAAAATAATGCTCCAATATCTTAAACTTACATCTTTTAGAATGGTCTTTTAACTTCAGACTGTGCAATGTACATGAAATGCACGGTGGACATTCCCTTGCCTTCTGCCTCATTTTCCTGCAAGATTAATGCCAACCAGAAATTGATGTGCCAGCTAATATTCCACTGAACCAATTTCCAGTTAGTGAGAACATTTGTGGAAGTCTGCTGTGCAGGGTCACACTGCTGCTTAGGCTGGGAGCTTCTGTTGGAGAAGCAGCTCACAGCCAACTGGCAAATTTAAAGAGATGACAGTGTTTTCTGTGGAAGACCCACCGTGCTGCTGTCTCTAGGGTTTGTGGACTTTAGGGCATTAAGAAACTGGAAAGGAGGCCGGGCGCGGTGGCTCAAGCCTGTAATCCCAGCACTTTGGGAGGCCGAGACGGACGGATCACAAGGTCAGGAGATCGAGACCATCCTGGCTAACACGGCGAAACCCCGTCTCTACTAAAAACACAAAAAATTAGCCGGGCGAGTTGGCGGCGCCTGTAAACTCCCAGCTACTCGGGAGGCTGAGGCAGGAGAATGGCGGGAACCCGGGAGGCGGAGCTTGCAGTGAGCTGAGATCCGGCCACTGCACTCCAGCCTGGGCGACAGAGCGAGACTCCGTCTAAAAAAAAAAAAAAAAAAAAAAAAAAAAAAAAGAAACTGGAAAGGCTTGCAGAAAATAGCAGGGCAGTTTGGGAAACCGGTCGCCATAACAACAGGGCATGGCAGCGGTTACAATGGAAGCAGAGATCTCCTGTGCACCCTTCCTAAGAGGAATGATTCAGGTTTAAGCACCTCAATAAACAACTGGAGTGTTTGAAACCAAGGCCTCATTAAACGATTACCTCCAAGAATCACTTTTCAAGGGCAGTCTTCATAGCAGTCAGGCTCACACTTTCTTGCTGGGGTGATAAGTGACGATGTACAAGCACAAACGAACACAGCTACAACCTCATGGTGTGGCTTCCATTAATTGGGTGCTCAGCATGTGCCGGGCTTTGCAGATTTATTACCTAACTCTATTATTTCCATTTTACAGAAGGGGGTAGTCAGAGCGGTGGGATGGCTTTTGTATGTGTACGTGGGCTGTGAGCAGCGGGGTGGGGTTTGGAACTCGGGTCTGTCTCATTCTGAGCCCTGTGGTCTTTCCTGTACACCAGCCCCTTCACAGATTGCTAGCTTCTGTCCTCACCGCCTTTCACCTAGCATTTGCAACAACTTTTGGACTAGTCTTCCCACCCTCAGTCACTCCCACTCCAATCCCCTTCACATTATTGCCAGGTGAATGCTCCTCAAGCACAGCTGGGATCATTATTGTGTTATTCTTCTACTCAAAGCCTTTCATGATTTCCCGCTATCTACTGAATGCAAATGTCTTAGTGTGGAATTCAAGGCTTTCTCTCCAGCCTCTTCATACAGCCTTTGGGGTGACGGGTGGCGCAATGGGATCAGGTGCCTCAAAGGGCATCCCATCTGATCCCACAGCCTCACCCATCACCCCAAAGGCCTACTGCTCCTGCCCTTCTGCTTCAGTTATGTGTTCCCTGATAGCACATGCCATTTAGGACACTTACTCCATTTTTAGTTTTCTTATTTATCATTGTGACTTATTTCTGCTATTATACTGTATACTCTTAAAGACAGAGCTCAGAAACAGACTCTGAGATAAACCCTTACTGGAGAGAGCTCTAGTAAACCAGCTGTGATGTGGGCCTCTTAATCTATCTCAAGATATTTATATATCTTGGATATATACATATATATATATATGGAGAATAGTATAATAAACCTCCATGTACCCATCATCAGCTTCAAAAATTATCAACATATTGCAAATCTTGTTTCATCTCTGCCTCTATTCCCCTTCACCAATTAGACATTTTTGAAGCAAATTCCACAAGTCATGTAACTTCATCCATGAATACTTCGGTATGAATCTCTGAGAAACTAGGACTCTTTAAAAAAGATATTAGATTGGACCATAAGAAACTATTATTTTTGTGGGTTGAAATAGTGTAGTATTAGCAATTTCATATACTTCAAACTAATATATAACCACAATACCATCATCACACCTAAAAATTAATGAAAATTTCTTAATTCTGTAATGTAATAATAATTCAGTCAGCATCCCAGTTTCTCCAACAGGGTGAGGGGCACAGGTCAGGGCAGACGGAGGAGTGGAATGGCTGTTGCAATAGGGGTTTCAGCTGATGCCCCAGGGAGCTCTGGAGCTGGAATGACCATTCAGCAATTGAGAAGACAGGGCGTTTTTACCCTGTATTGGCCAGGTGTTGGATGCAGGCTTCCCCCAGCAAGGAGATGTGACCTTGGGTAAGGTCATTTCCTTCCACAGGAGCAGTGCCTGGAGAGGCACTCAGCTGTGATCCTTTAGCAGCTAACTCTCCCTGCAGCTGGAGAATCTGGTGCAGCAGTCCCACAGGAAGACCTGGCAGGGGTAGGGGCGTAATCACCTTACTCATCTTTCTGCTTCCCTAGTGACTACATATCAGATTCACCTGGGGAATCTCAAACAAAGGTCCCACCCCTGGCACTTCTGATTTGGTACTGCGGGTGAGGCTAGAAAACCTGCAGTGTCTCCATGTTCTCTAGGTCCCTGGAGAGTGGAGTTTTGTAGGTCTGGGGTAGACCTCAGATTCTGCGTGTTTGACAGGCTTCCAAGTGATGCCGATGTTGCTGGTCCAGAGGTCGTAGATCAGAGGTTGGCAAACTTTTTCTGTAAAGGGACAGAGGGTAAATATTTTAGGCTTTGTGGGCTATGTGATTTCTTTTGCAACTACTCAACTTCTCTGTTTTTAATGCCAAAGCAGCTATAGACAATACATCAATGAATGAGCGTGTCTGTGTTCCAATGCCCACTCCTGTCCTAGGTGATTTTGAAGCACAACCAGATTTAAGAGCCACTGTCTTTGATCCCCAAGGCAGTGTGGAAGAGAGAAAAAAAAGTATAGGATTTGCAGTTACTAGTCCTAACCCTCAAATACACCTCTAAATAGCTCAGCACATGCTGAATACTCAAACAATGTTTCTAGAATAATGAACAGACAACGAATTAATGGAATTAAGCTCATTTCTTACCTTGGAAGCAGTTTTTAAAGTATCTCGGATAACATTTGCTCATCAAGGTATTAGAGATTTTATTATGCAAATCATGCTCTTGAGTTGGGTGGGATTCAGGAAGAATGTGGCATCATGCAGAGTAAGGTAGAGGGTGCTTGAAGATCAATTTCATCTTCTCGAGGAGTTCTCCTAGCCTTGGGCTCTGAGGAATGTTGGGACGCCTTTGTCCCTTCAGCACAGGTCACTGTTGATGTTGATTTAGAGAGCTGGGTGCAGCTACCATGGCCTGAGTTGTTTTCTCAGCTGAATCAGATTCAGAAAGTGCTTCTTCTGAGAGGGTGGAATGCTCTTCTAAGAGGCGTGAGGAATAATCATCTCCCTGTGTCTCTCTGAGTTTCACTTTCCTTAACTCTCAATTATTGCCACAGGCTGTAATGCCAGAAATGAGGGTTTTTGGAAAGTCGCTGCATGTCTGCTTGGTTGTGAGTCTGGGCAGCTGATGAATGGGTTGCTGTTATGGTGTTTACTTTTCTGAATCAGGTGTTCCTCTGCAGAGGCGGGGGGCTTCCACCCATTATGTAAGCTTTCAGAAAATACCCAACGATCTTCTTAGAGAAAAAGCACCATTTAAATAGAAGCTACTAAAAATGTTAACACGGAGACCCAGAGAGAGTGTGCCTACGCCCTTTAGCCATATTTGTCTCTTTTGAACATAAATTCAAAATTCAAACACTGACTGTTCTTGGGATTCCAAAATCCTGTAGCAGTAAGCAAAAAATTAGTGTGGAATGTATATGATATACAAAAAAGTTATATGAAAAGGTGATTTGAATATGTGTGTAGGTACACACACACACACCACACAAATGGGGATTATTTCTTCAACTGAGCATCAAACACCATCTGGTTGCAATTGCTCAAAACAATTATAGAACCCCTTAATTGTAGCCTTAGACATTTTTTAATATAACATTTCAAACATATATGAAAATTTGAAACTTTAAAACTATACACACATATTTCAAGCTATATATATATATATATAGAGAGAGAGAGAGAATAGTATAATAAACCCCCATGTATCCATCACAGCTTCAACACATTGCAAATATTGTTTCATCTCTGCCTCCGTTCCCCTTCATCAATTGGGTAATTTTGAAGCAAATTCTGGAAGTCATGTAACTTCATCCATGAATACTTTAGTATGAATCTTTAAGAAATTAGGACTCTTTAAAAAAGATATTGGGGCTGGCATGGTGGCTCACACCAGTAATCCCAGCACATTGGGAAGCTGAGGCAGGAGGATCACTTGAGCCTATGAGTTTGAGACCAGCCTGGGCAATATAGTGAGGCCTCATCTCTACAAATTTTTTTTTTTTTTTTAAATTAGCCAAGCGTGACAGGGCACAGTGGCTCACGCCTGTAATCCCAGCACTTTGGGAAGCCGAGGCAGGCGAATCACGAGGTCAGGAGGTCGAGACCATCCTGGCTAACACAGTGAAACCCTGTCTCTACTAAAAATACAAAAAATTACCTGGGCATGGTGGCCGGTGCCTGTAGTCCCAGCTACTTGGGAGGCTGAAGCAGGAGAATAGCATGAGCCCAGGAGGTGGAGCTTGCAGTGAGCCGAGATCATGCCACTGCACTCCAGCCTGGGCTGCAGAGTGAGGCTCCATCTCAGAAAAAAAAACTTAGCCAAGTGTGGTGGTGCATGCCTGTAGTCCCAGCTATTCTGGAGGCTGAGTGGGAAGATTGCTTGAGCCCGGGAGGCAGAGGTTACAGTGAGCTGAGATTACACCACTGCACTCCAGCCTGGGCAACAGAGCAAGACCCTGTTTCAAAAGAAAAATTTTAAAAAGTAAAAAGATATTGGATTGGACTATATGAAATTGTCATTTTTCATAGGTTGAAATGGTGTAATATCAGCAATTCTATATGCTTCAACCTAATATATAACCACAATACCATTATCACATCTCAAATTAATGAAAATTCCTTAATTCTTAATTATCTAATGTAATAAAAATTCAGCCAGTGTCCAAATTTTCCCAATGGTCTCATAAATGTTTTTCTATCATTGGTTTGTTTGAATTGAGATACAAACAATGTCTGCATATTGTCTTTGGTTTATATTTTTCTTGTTTCTTTCAGTTTATAGGTTTCCCATTTCCTCCCTTTCCCCTTCAATTTATTTGTTGAAGAAACTGGTTGTTTTGTCTTGCAGAGTTTCTAATTTTTTGGATTTTGCTGATTGCCTCCCTGTGGTGTTGTTTAAAATGTTGCTATATTCAGTTAGACAGGAGGAAAACCTTTAGGAAATCTATTGCACAACATGGTGACTAGAGTTAATAACAATGTATTGTATAGAGTAGTTCCTCCTTATCCATGGAGAACAAGTTCCAATACTTCCAGGGGATGCCTGAAGCCACAATTAGTACAAAATCCTATATATACGGTTCTTCCTTTCCTTACCAAATAGAGAACTTTCACACCTTATTTTAAAGAAGCACTTTAGGGTTTCTCTTTGGCATATCGGAATTGCCACCATCACTACTCTTGCTTTGGTGCCATTATTAAGTAAAAGAAGGGTGACTTGAATGCAAGCACCATGATACCTGGACAATTGATCTGATCACCAAGAGGGCTACAAAGTAGCTAACAGGCCAATGGTGTCTACAGCACGGATACATAGGACAATACATGTATACAATACATACAATACATACATACACATCCCAGGCAAGACAGAGCAAGATAGCGAGACATTTCATCATGCTACTCAGAATGGCACACAATTTAAAACTTATGAATTGTTTATTTCTGAAACTTTCCATTTAATATTTTTGGACTTTGGTTGACCATAGGTAACTGAAACTGCAAAAATGAAAGCTGCAGGTAGGGAGGGACAACTGTATTTGAAAATTGCTTAAAAAGTAGATTTTAAATGATCTCACCACAAAGAAAGATATCTGAGATCATGAATATGTTAATTAGCTTGATTTAGTCATTCAATAATATATATATGAAAACATCATGTTGTACACCATATATAAAATTTTATTTGTCAATTTAAAAATTAATTAATTAATTGAAAAAAGTTTCTGTATTCTCTGTAAACTAATAGAACAATGGGCTTGATGGAATTCCGGTTTGATTTTTTAGTAAGAAACTTCATAATTGATGAGGTATTCTGCATCAGGAACCACACATCAGGTTGTCTCTCATTTTTTGTGATGTTAAGATTGGCTTAGGCCACCTGATCCATCCTTTATAAAGTTTCTCTTCAGCTTTCTACCTAATGCTTTTAGCAGCTATTGATAATCATTGCCTACATCCATTATTTCATTAAGAATTACAAAGTGGTGATAGTCTAACATTTCTTCAACATTTATTACCAGAAATTCTTTTATAAAGAATAACTTTTCCCCACATCCTCTTTGGCTTCCCTGAAAAGTCTGAGTTAATGCCAGATGTTTCCCTTTAATGGTCAGTTCTCAGTTTCTCCCCTAGTATCCTCTGAAGGTGACCCAAAGAGTGTTTCTTAAAGCATCATGATGGATTCATGGCTCATTAGCGTATTGGATGGGTTTTAATTCATTGCACTTAATATCTTGTATGTGTGTGCTTGGGGTTTCCCATCTTTGGCTAGTGGGAGCCCCTGTTTGACTCTTGACTCCTTTTCACACACCTCTAGTAGTCTTTGATAGTCCTGGCTTTCTGGTATGGTATGTTTTTCTAGGCTTATTATTATTTCTAGGCTTATTATGTTTTTCTAGGCTCATTCTTTTATTTTTCTGGGCTAGGACTTGGAATTATTGATTTCTCTAAGGAGCCCTGGTTCCTGTAACTGAAATATAATACTTAGAGCCTACAGCCTGAGCACCTAGGCTGCTTGTTGCTACTGGGTTGGTTGTTGTTTATATCCCTTTTCACTGGACAGAACCAGAAACTATTTTTAAAGAGACTATGTGTTTGTATTGATATTATCAATTCAGATTTTTCATCCTTTTAAAACTTTATTCTTTTTTTAGATGCTAAAATTCTTGGTTCCTAACAACATTATAAGTAAGCAACTAAGGTTTCTTTGTCTTACATATGTAACAGTATTGTTAATGGTGGAGGGAGTCCAGTTTCTTGGCATCTTGAACACATAATTAGACAAAATGCACAAACAAAGCAAGGAAAGAATGAAGGGGGATTTATTGAGAATGAAAGTACACTCCACAGTGTAAGAGCAGGCCTGAGCATAGGGGCTCAAAGGCCCCATTACAGAATTTTGAGGAGTTTAAATATCCCCTAGAGGATTCCACTGGTCACTTTGGGTATGCCCTATGTAAATGGAGAGGATGAAGTAAAGTTACAAAGTCATTTACCACCTATGCCCTATGGAGAGGATGTTTCCTGTTATAGCTGAAGTGTGGATCAGCCTTATGTTCCCTACCTCCAGACTATTTTCCTCCCTCAACGTGATGACTGAAAATGTTTGTAAAGATTTTGTGGGAGATTTTGTCTTTAGGGTATATCCCAATAGGAACATATAGTTAGATTACTGTGTTTTAAAGTACATTGAAATAATTTCTTGCTGGGTGGTTGTATTAGGGTTCTCTAGAGGGACAGAACTAATAGGAGATATATATATATATATATATGAGTTTATTGAGCATTAACTTACATGATCACAAGGTCCCACACTAGGCTCTCTGCAAGCTAAGGGGCAAAGAGAGCCTTTCCCAGGCCACTGACTCAAATGTTAATCTCCTTTGGCAACACCCTCACAGACACACCCAGGATCAATACTTTGCATCCTTCAATCCAATCAAGTTGACACTCAGTATTAACCATCACAGTGGTTAAGCCATCCACTTGCTAGATAGGTAGGTTCGTTTGTTTCATTTTACTTTTGTATTTCAGGAAAAATTGCTATTTCTTTCATTTCAGTTTAATTTTGTTTTATATTGTTCAAACATTTACATGGTTCTAAAGACAAATCTATAAAATAAGCTACATATAAAAAGTTCGGCTTTCATCATCTCTGCCCCCTTTCCTCTGATTCCTTTGTCATCCTATAGATAACCATTTTATTAGTTTTTGGTTTATCTTTTTTTTTTTTCAAACAAGCAAACATACGCACACATACACACAAATCTCTACATCTATATCTGTATCTATATAGTTAGATGCTTTTCATTTTTAAGATAAAAGGCAGCATACTATACCTACTGTTCTGTCCCTTGGCTTTCACCAAAGACTATATCCCAGATATCACTTCAAAGCACTATATAAATTCCTCATTCCTTTTTATAGCTGCATAGTGCTCAATTGTTTGGATGTGCCCTAGTTCAGTAAACCAGTATCCTACTGATAGCCATTAGGTCTGTTCCCAATCTTTTACTGTAATAAATAATCTTGCCCAGGTGTCTTTTCATTTTTTGCCAGTGTAGATTTAGGTAGATCCCTAAAAAGTGGTACGGCTGGGCCAGATGCTGAATGCAAATGTAATTTTGCTAGATGTTGCCAAATTTCCCCCCAGAGGCCTTGTGACATTTTGCATTCCCATCAGCAGCATATGAAAGTGCCTGTTTCCCTATAACCTGCCAGCAGGGTATATTATCAAACTTAGGGATTTTTATCACGTTAGTAGGTATGGAATTGTAGCTCAGTTAGTTTTAGTGTGCATCTCTAAGAGTGAAGTTGCCATCTTTTTATATAATTCTGTAAAAACTGCCTTTTCTGCCCTATAT